GCCGTTTGGACCAATATGTTAGATATTTTAATTTATTACGACTATTAACGATTAATAGAATTACCAGAACTATATTTAGATACCTAGGTACTTATGGATTGAATACCACTGTTAAATAATTATTATTTATTAATAAATTATCATGAAATTTATGCTATTTACTCACAAATTTAATATTTATTTTTAGTTATGTTTATCGATTATAGATAATAGCAGTATGTGGCATACTATATTATTTCTTAAATGTCTCGAACCACCTTAAGTACAAGTCTGTGAGATGGGCACATCATTCTATTTAGAGTGATGGTTTTAGCACCACTTCAACCATTAAGAAATYGAAACTATATGTCGCACATTTCTACAATGAATTGCTGTTGAACAATGTCACATCCACTGCGCAGGACGTATAGTTATCACGCGGAGGATTTGACACGGAGATAATTAGTGCGTAACGGGACTTTTGAGACACACTGTACGACGGAAGTCAAACAAAATAATTTTGTCGTGTTGATTCGACCGCCCATCGCAAAACCCTACCACGACGAGACCCGACCAATTAAACGACGCAACGATCGCGAACCCGACAGCCGTTAGGCTATAAAAACGATACTTAAACCGATCGGAACTGTAGTCAGTCCATCAACTATTAAAGCTCAAACATTGACCGGATCAACTTCGTCGTCGTTGAGGAACAGATTCCGAAATAACAGATATCGCAGTACCGCACATTAGGTACCATACTCGATTTCCTCCGAAAAAACAACAAAAACAGCAAATCCAAAATGTTTCTGTCGTACACCGTCGTGCCCGTGTTTGTTTTGGCCATACTTTTTAACTTCATCTACGTGTTCTCCGACGATGATAATTTGTCTTCAACGAATTCAACTTCACCTACTAGCATTAATTTCACGTCATGTAACGAATGCTTGCAATCGAAGTGCTACATTGATTTGGGTGGAGCGTGCATCCCCATCAACGACACCACATCAAACTCACAGAACTCATCGATTGCCCAGTGTTTCGTGTGTGATAAGGACGATAAGGGACGCTTTATGTACTACAACAAAGACTATTGTGAAAAAGTATGCCCCGATAAAGTTAATGGTTGCTATTGCAACGGCCATTGTTTCATGTGTTTTAAAGTGAATGTATCTATGCCACCCTCGACTAATTCGTGCAACCTGCCCACCCAGATGTTTGACGATAAGTGTAAGTTAATCAATTACCATGTGGAAGAATAATGAAACCGTGCCGCCATCATCATGATATTATTTAATATTAATATTAATAACATTATATTATATTTTTTCAACTATAATTTTTGTTCTCAGAAAACCCCTTCACCAATTAAAAAAAAAAAAAAAAAATACGAAAATTCTTTAAGTTGTTGTTATTATATAGTTAAGATTCAATGTTTGTACACAAAAATACTATTGTTGATTTAACTTTTAGATTCTGAGAGGAGCGATGAATGTATTGGTTTTACCATGATGAGTGTTTTTTTTGTATCTGTCATCACGTTTTGGGGCAGTAAAAATGCTTCGATTTTTGACTTCAGTACCTAGTTCGATCAGAAAGTGAATCTAGTTGGTACT